CCCCCCCGACGAACGTGTAGGTGTTTGAATTTGAGCTCCACACGCGTGTTCTATGCGGCAAAAATCGGAGATATGAAGTCGACGACAACAATCGAAGGCTTTCCGCTTTCTCCAGGAAGGTCAGCTCCCCCTCCTTCCCCTCCCCCTTCCCCTGCATGTAACTCGCCGAATACCTTACGGCGTTTCGCGCTTGGTGACGTGAGAGCCTGGTCCGGTGAGTACCCGGCGTGCCCCGTCCCGGCTTTGCATGATGCGAGGTCAACGGTCTAACGGCTACGGTATGCACCTCTGCGAGTACAACCCGCCCCATACGCCCCCTCGAACAATTCCCCCTGACAAGCCGATATCGTCGATGGCCGCGACATGGGCCACGCTTTGAGCACCTCACACAGACCGCGGCTTGCTGCGAAAACTACCGGGAGGCCAACAACACACCATATTCTTGCGGGTGTCTGGCCTTTTTCTTTCAGGCAGTAGCCCTCGCGAGGATATCTAGCTTGGGGTTGGATTAGTAGGGGGCACGGGGGTAGGTTGGGGGTTAGGGTTAGCGCAAGGGTTGTTACGAAATCCCCCTCTCTATTTCGCATACAGTATAGCACAAGTATCCTCGCGAAGGCGATCCCCTTGAGATTGATACGCGCCACGACGTGCCAGCAGTTGAAAGGCGCTGTTTATCCCAATCCTCCCTTCGTACCCTCCCAGCACCAAACTTCGAGCGTCTGGTACGCATCGAAACGAGTCGACGAACAATGTTCCAGGTCGAACGAGGACTGCACGTGTCGAACAACAGAAACACCTTTGTAACAATAAAAAAATGAACCCCAACTTCAGCGAAGCTGTTGCGACGACGTGACTGCCCTTCCTCGCGTGGACGAAAGGCAAATTGTGGGTTGGCACCATACTCTTGAGCTTTGACACAAGTGCGTCCCCAGTATCTCCAACACTCTGATGCACAGGTACACACACACCGCTTACGATGACACTATTTAGTCTGCCCACGCGTCGCTTTACTGCAGCAATGCATACTGCTGTACGAGGGTCAGGTTTCCCTGCCAGCTCGACCCCCCAACCATTGGCGTGCTATCGTTTAACTACAGCAGCAGAAGCACGCGCCACCGCTTCACGAAGAGCCTCTTACTCTGCCCGACGCTCGTTCCATATCTCCTCTGTGCAGGGTATCTATTCCAAGAGCAGATTTTATCATACTCGTGTTGCATAGGCTTCTTACCCGAGCATCTGTTCTTGTACGCATAATAGTTCATCAAGTACGTCAAGATATAAATAAATGTGTGCTCTCGAGCCTGAAAATTCCTACGTTTGTTTCCAGGTTCTTCCTGCGGGAGGCACGTTTCAAACTGCGGCACCGTCCTTTGAATATCAATTATATTTGCTGTTGGCAGAAGTAATTCGAGTTCGCGAGTACCCGGCACGGCAAACACACACGATGATGGCCTGCATCCTACTGCTCTGTACTATTCGTGACTACCTGTGTACTGCCACATAGTAGTCTGCGATATAGTAGACGAGTCTGCTAATAACTGCTGTTGCGTCAACTAGTCTAATCATTGGATTTGATTTAATAGATTGTATGTCAATCATGACAACGCCTTCAACCCTGGATGTGAAGCGTGAGAAACGAGGGGTTTCATTGTATGCATAATGTAGCTCATGTTTTCGGTGGCGCTGGTCCTGGTCGATGTGGAAGAACATGCTTCATCTTGAGCCGTGCGCACCGACATCAGTACAACGTCTACGTCCACCGCACGCAGTCTAAAACTTCTAAGTGTGGATATGCATACGAAGGAACATTTTCGTATGCCTGCAAAACGGATAGGAACGTTTGTGCGATCTGATCCTGCTCCTCATCTTGCAGTTGCCCCTGAAGTCCAACTGAGGACGCCGAAATTCCTGCGGCAAAGTTGTGAACTGCCATGGAATTTCGACTGCCGATGACGTCGAAGAGCGACTCCTGCAGCAACTCTTGCCCTCAAAGACATACAGCAGTAGTACTGCACGCAGACCTGCCGTGCTCAAAGCAACTGGCAACACATGCGAGTTCAAGACGTCGCTGGCATCATCCGTGGCTGCCAGGAGCCAGACCTACACTGCTGCTGGTGTTGCACAGCAACTTTGCGAACCACAATCCACAAACTAACTAACACACACGGCGGACGCAACTAGGAAAAGAGACCCACAAAGCACGAAACCCGCGTATCCCACCTCCAAGTCAATAAGCGAAGCATCGCAAGCGATCTCCCTGATCTTGTAGAGATGTCTCGACGAACCCGGGGTGTACAGCACCGATCTCATCGGTTTCAGGAGAGGTTTTGCCAAGCCTCCCGAATCGCTGCTGCTGCTGCTGCTGCTGCTGCTGCTGCTCCGCCTGCTGGCTCCACCCAGCTGTACAGAGACTTCTCGCCCAGTAGGTGGCAACCAGCAGTTTCTTCTGCTTCCCTCTGCTCTACGTGGTCCTCCTCGGGGAGATGCCGTTGACAGCGAGCGGCGCGGGCAGCAGACCAGAGTTGGCAAAGTTGATGATGCCTCTCGGGCTACAGCAGTAGCGGGTATCGTGCAACTGCTGGAAATTACATGGCGGACAGCTACAACGCGACGAGCGACAGATACGAGGACTGTCATTATCCGGTAGGGTGTGGGGTGGGCAACGCGAGGGAGGTCTGGGTGTAGAGCAGCGGTAGATGAGGTGGCCTAGACGCTTGGCGCCCCCATATAGGGACGCCGCAGAAGAATACCTACAAAAGGGGGGTGAAGGGGGCCTGGCACGCATAAACATGCATATCAGACTACTGGTTATGGCAAACAAATCTTGATCTTGATTCTTCAAAACCTTGGCAAGATAAAAGCGACCCCCCCCCAAGATCAAGATTTTTGCATGTAGTACGTGTGTGTGGGAAACTGCATCTTGATCTCACTTGGGGGTTGTGGACACCTCGATAGACAAAATCAGCGAGTGCGACCTGAGTTCTTGACGTATCGCTCCCATCAAGGGCTTCGACGAACCCTATGGTGAAGGGTTTGCTGTTCCACACGTTGGTTGTTAGTTGTCGGTCGGGACACGAGCGTAAAAAATCGTTTCGCATCACACCAAACGTGGAGACTCCCAAACGTCACGAGAGGGCAAAAAAGCCGAAAAAAAGCCGCGTTCTGACAGAGGCGCGACAACAGCGCAATTGATTTCTCGCTCCCTAGCCCACCGATTGACGCCAAACCGGTCAGGGTGTGCTCTCCGTTCCTTGCTCTCCTTCGGAGTGGCGTGACTCAGGCGCTCGCAAGCTCAATCGATGGAGAGAGAATTGTGCGTGGCGTCACTTTGCTTTTTCGAACTGATTTTTTCGCCCTTGTTATTCACTTGCGAATAGACTGACCTGTTGAACACCTGAAAACTTTTTTCAACGGATGGCGTGCGCACACGCAGACAACGATTTCCGTCGATTGAGCGTGCGAGCTCCTGAGCCACGCCACTCCGAAGGAGAGCAAGAAACGGAGAGCACACCCTGACCGGTTTGTCGTCAATCGGTGGCCTAGGGAGCGATAAATCAATTGCGCTGTTGTCGCGCCTCTGTCAGAACGCGGGCTTTTTTCGGCTTTGTTGCCCTCTCGTGACGTTTGGGAGTCTCCACGTTTGGTGTGATGCCAAATGATTTTTTTACCGCTCGTGTCCCGACCGACAACCAACAACCAGCAAGCAGAACAGCAAACCCTTCACCATAGGGTTCGTCGGAGCCCTTGATGGGAGCGATACGTCAAGAACTCAGGTCGCACTCGCTGATTATGTGGACGGTCTGGGACGGTGCAGCGCTATTGACCCCCCCCCTTCGGCAAGATTTTGACAAGGCTGCCAGCGCCCAAATCTTGCATTGGCGAAATATTTGGGCAAAAGGGGGCTCCTTGGTTTCATTCCAAATCTTGCCAAGATATTGAGGCAAGATTTGGACTCCATAACACATCCCAG